ATGTTCTGTACAAGACAGTGTTTCTATTTCTACTGCAGACTAACACGTTCAAGCTTGGTAGGTTGTACTTACAGCGATCATTGTGGTTGTAGAGCAAGCTGTGTCTTGACTTATTCTCTCCAGAATGCTTCTCAGAGCAGAGGTCAAACTTCTCACGAGTCTTTCACACAGGAACAGGCAATACTGTGGCTTTTAAACCATCCCTCATTCCAGCTTGATCATATGTGGCCCAGCTTCCCTGGGCATTGATAAGCCTTTCACCAGAATAGCTCACAGTACACCATATTAATAAAAGCAGGTTCTGTACGTATGCAGTGTGTGTAGGTCTCTTGTCCTGGAAAAATGAAACCGTGGCTGCTGACTGCTATTTTAAGAATGCATCAAATTCTGTATAGTGAGAAGAAAACTAAAGGCTTTTTAAGGTAGTTACGTTGCTTTGAAGGATCTTGTGTGAGTTTTACAGTTATCTCTAGATTATACATGATGAGACACAGAAAGTGCAGATCAACTACTTCTTCAAATACACGCGAGAGGAAGTGATAAAATCAGAAATCAGATCCACCACCCTTACATGTTGTAACTATCACATAGCCTGTGTCATGTCCACCTGTGCTATTTATGATTTTAACTTAGCTGTGCTCCTTGCCATTTATTGCAAAGACAATATGTACATTTTGCGGTGGTGGTAGAAGGGAAAGGGAAACCACAGATTTTTTTGGGCAAGCCATGAGTGCTGCTTACAGTCTAAAATTCATTTAGCGTGGAAATCTGATGACTCTTGAAAATATCTTCCTGGACTTCTTTGCTGAGCCTGCCAAGAATAGTGATAATTAACAGAAGTCATGTCTGTGACAGAAACAAAAACACTGACCATATGTCTTGTTTATAGTCCTACGCCATTTCTCTGGAAGAAAAATTGAACTTCAAATTAAGAAATATATAAACTGAAAACATGCTCTGTTACTTATCATGTTTACACTAAATAAAAGCAGAACTTAGCTTCTGCATTCAGTGGTGTTATCAGAAACATCTAATAGTATTTGATTGACAGTTCTTTCATGGGCCCAAGGACATAGCTGACTGAGCTGTGGTGTATATTTCAGTGCAGTATCACTTGTTTGCCAGCATGTGAGTTCTGCCCTTTGGTGATTCAAATAGTGAAGCCCATGAGTTAAATATCAGCTTCATTGTGTGAATAGTAACCATGATATCTGCAATATCACATTACAGCAGAGGTTCAGTCAGGTGCTATTAAATTCCCCTAATTCTGTACATTTTTATTTATAAATAAAAATATAGCTACCTCAGATTGCCTTTATCCAAGGAAAGGAAATGCACATCTGCTGCTGGAAATGATTCTCTCCTGACACTACTGAGCAAAAACTTTCACAGGCATCACTGCCTGTGATAAAAAGCCAATAGAACGTAGCAGTGCAACTACAATAATGATGGACCATGTATAAGTGTTAACATAAAAACTATATTTTATTTTAGTCTTTCAAAAAGTTTTGCAAACCAGATAGTGAAATGCCTTGGATATATCATATTACATAACAGTGGTAATAGATAAGTTAAGCTATTCATACAGTTGTTTCTGGGTGCTAAAGTAGGAAAGCTACTTAAAAGCTATTACAGCTTTCGTCTACACAGCAGATTCCCTTGTGCAGTACATGCTCCTACTCCAACTGTTATTTCACATATGCATGCATCAGGTATTTATTTGGCAGCCATCAAGTTGTAGTGTTAAAAGACTTACTAATTTTTTTTTTTTTAAATATAGCAATGACTCTTCCTAAGATGACAAATACTCAGTCACCCTTTTATTCACTTTCTGATCCTTTTGACAAGATGACCAGATACTGGTCACTTGTGACATGAGTGGCAGAACAAAGACCCATGATCCCCTCCTTCCAGCAGCTATAGAGTATATGTTTAAGAGGTTAATTCCATCTCCTTTCTGCTGACCTGAGTTGAATTCAAATTACCATCCTAAAAGGAAAGGTCTGGGTAAAAGCCATGTCAATCCTTGAATGCATTTATCTTTGGGACATTTTAGCAGGGGACAAGTGGAGATGAGTAAGACACTAAACCCAGGAGATTGCTGCTCTTTAAACAAACAGTGAATACCTGACCTATAATTGAAGACAGGTCATGGTATCTTATTTCTTGTGGCTATTATAATACCCACAGTTAATCATAGAGGCAAAGGTTTTAAGATACTAGCGCAATTCATATGCTGATGAGCTGGAGCTCTGTCATGTGAAAACTGAGGTTGTTTGTCTGTGTGAGAGCCATTTCAGTTTACATTATCCTGTTACTCTTCAGTTGTTTGATGCCTTTGATATTACCCATTATTTTTATTTTTGTATGTTAGCAATACCCTGAAAGGGAGTAAGACATACATAATCTTACATGGATTAGAAATTTGCTGATATGTACTTGTGAATGTTCTAATTACCTTGCCAAACAAAATAAGCGAGTTTCTGTTGGTTGGAAAATGTTCCACATAAATTAAGCAGTGCATCTGTGTTCACTTCTTACTGCAACAGTAGCAAACAGGCCAGGTCTAAATACTCTTGGTATCACACATTTGATTCAGTGTTGTTTAAAACAAGAAAAAAAAAAACAACCAAAAAATGAAAAACAAAAATACAATCAAAACAACAATTCTCCTTTGTGGCTAAAGAGAACAGAGAAGAGTAAGTCAATCATCAAGTTGGATGCTCATTTTAGACAGTGTGAATACATCACTAATACAAATCTGAAGAATTTAAAATTCTTCTTTTTTTTTTTTTTTTAATTAAACAAAAGCCACAATTCTTGTCAACCACACTGCTGAGGACATTTTTCCCCATTTTCAGAAACCTGGAAGTTCTCTCTCTGAAAACAGGAACCAGCATCTATCATCACAACTCAAAGAGATGTTAGTGAGCTTCATTCCAGCATCTCAGAGAAAAGGTGCATTAACTCTTCAGTAACAAGAGTTCAGCTTTTGCACAGATGCCACTCGTTTTAAAATAGTGAGAGGAAAAATGACATGTCATATCTGTGAAAATCTCAGTAGACTGATCTTTTTTTTTTTTTTCCTTCATGAAGCATTAGCACGGTTTTAAATAGCTGCAACTGCATATTAAAAATGCCCATGTGTATAATACATGAATAAGGGCACCTTGGCTGAATACATTATAGAACAGAGCTGTCATCTTCACCCACTTCAAAATCTTGCTTTCTCTTGCTTATGTGGATAGACAATGCTAATGAGATGAACTGACCAACACTTAAATTAGACAGTGAAGCAAAGGCTTAAAATCAGGTTGTTGTTTGTTGTTTTTTTGTTGTTTTTTTTTTAATGAACATCATTTCATGAGTTCCTTTTTTTTCCTTTCTTTCCATCACTTCCACAAATCAGGCCATTTCTCTGCAGCTCTTTATTTAAGCACAGTAAAGGATTGTGTTTTATCTGCAGACTGACTAGTTGGGATTTTTTGTTGGGTTTGTGTTTGTTTTCTCTTCTGTTACTCATTCACCTCCTACTTCAACAAAGACATAATCCCATATTTTTTTGTATAACTAAGAGCTGATTCAGATACAGGAAAAAATGTATGCTGCTGAATGGAGGCTGTAACATGTACTGTGCTTGATGGACTTGAAATGATGTATGCAAAAATTTCTACAGTTGTTTGTCTTTGTGTTTAGAACAAGAGTATGTAATAATGCACTTGCTAGGCAGGAATGACTCACTGAATATTTCAACAAGATATGTAGATTTTTATGCTGTGCCATTCAATAAAATATATTTATTTCAGTAAGCCATATTGAAATAATATGACTTATTGAAAATAAATACGGCATGAGCCATTTTTGGCTTATGCACTCGTTTCAAGGAAAAAAATGCCCAATTTTTGGATCAAAATATCTTTTTTTTGCCCACTAAAGAGTTGCTTTCCCTGTATAACTGTTGTTTTGTGGCTCTGTGCAAAGGCTCACAACTCAGTTTTTTAAAGATGCATTCTCTCTAATGATGGAGGAAAAACAAAAGTTTTCTGGTGAAGGTGGCTTTTGTCTCTGAGAATGTTTTGTAGCTCTCGAGTGAGTGGAATTCATTTATGTATGTATAGCTCCAAGTGACGAGGCTTATGAATTGCTGTTATCGTTGAGAGCTTGCTGAGAAAATGAAGTGCATGGCTACACTTCTATTTTATATTTCATGGAAATTAAAACTATTTTAGGCCCTGCATGCAGGCCTATACAGATATCTGGACCAATTTTTCTCCATCTGACTGATGTTTCTCTGAGTCATTCATATCACTTTCAAATGCAAAGAGATTTTGTAAGCTATTTATGATCATCCTTAGTGTATATTTAAGCTCTCCTTTTTAACAGGGGCTGGCAGTACAAGGAAATAAAGTTCCTTCTGGACAATATTTTACAATGAAAGAAGTTGCAATGGTGTTTTGAAAATCAAAATCCCTTTCTTCTGTAACAAAAAACCCACAGTGTTTACGTAGGAGCAGACTCTTACCTTTGTTTCCCAAATTTCATTAATAAGGAAACCTGCTTTGCCCCTTCTTGTATGACCTTGGAAAGTCACATAATCTCAGCAGCCTTAAGATTTCACAGACTTTGGAGCTGAACAGAAGTGCCAGGTTCTATGCAGCAGCAAGGCAGCCGTTTGCAGGCTGTTCTGTGCCTGTGCCAGAGCACTCCTTGGCACAGGAGCAGCGACAGAGTTTGTTAGCAAGCCTGTGAGACAGCACTTTGGCAATTCATATCATACCTGGGAACAAACATCAGTACTGCAGGAAAAAAGAAAGATGAAAGATCACACAAATGGCAGAGCTACTGTTTGCTTAAAGGAAAAATGAAATGGGCAAACAAAAGCTTTGGCAAGTAAAGGACTTGGGATTTGTTGTTACCTGCAGTGGAGGTTTCACTGTCCTTGTGTTGTTCAGCATCCTATTACACTAAGGATATGAAATTAAATTTCCTTTCTTCTCTAGGACTATTTGCAAGCTGCTACCAAGTCCCACATCAACACACACTACTTTCTTGAAAATGGCTGCCAAATTGTGAAGGTAAGAAAACAAAGCTATCAATTCCTGTTTAAAATGACAGATGCTAGTTAGCAGAAACATTTTTTTGTTGCTGGTTTTTCAAACCCCTACTGAGATAAAAGGGGTGTGTGTGTGTGTGTGTGTGTGAACAAATCCAAAACCTCCAAGACATAGCCCTTTTGTGGGAAGGTTGGAATGGTCTTTTCACAGCACTCTTTATATTTTGATAATTTTCAGAAATACAGATTAGAACAGATCAAATAAACTGATTAGATAACCCAAAACAAAGGGTGAAACAATATTTAAATGATGTGCAACTTCATTCTTGCCTGAAGGTATGCTTCATGAAGAAAGTGCTCAGGATATTTCACAGCATGGGGGTACACCTCCTGCTTCCCCAGCAGGTCAGTACTGCCTCTCTTGCTGGGTTCTGGTGCAAGGCACCCTGGTGGCTACTCTGTCCACCTCAGTCTCAAATAGCCCCTGTAAATATCAGTAGAGGACTCTTTCTCTAGAATCTCACAGGAGCAGAGAAGCTCCAAAAAAACCCCAGTGATTGATTTGCATTATAGGACAGAAAAGTCCAAAAAGAATTCTCTCAAATTCAGAAGGCTTGAAGACAGGCTTCTCGCACAACTTAAGTGTCCGATATGGGCGGCTGTGTGTGATTTATTGAAGTATACTTCTCTGACTTTATGCAAGATAGTAGATTCTAACTGAGTGATGGAAAGAAATTCATTAAAAAGGGAGAAGGAACAGAACAGCAAATACAAAAGAACAGGAGGGCTGAATGTAAAACACATAATAGCAATGTATTAGGATGGATGAAACTGTGAGGAAAAAATACTTCATTAGTGGGCTGTAGTGAAGCCACAGCTCACAGCTGGCAGAAAAGAAAAAAAAAAAAGAAAAAAAACCACCTGCTTTTCTGTGTAGCATTGTGTTGCTCACATAAGAAAATCTGTGGTTGATATGCAGGTTTTGCACAGCCATCCCAAAACCTAGGCTGGCATCTGCAGACTCATGGGAGGTGTCAGTGGCACTGATGACCCCAAAGAGAGAAGAATTCCCCCGCAGACTTTGTTCTTTTGGTAAGAAATCACCTTCTAGCCTATTTTGTGCCCAGTCAAGTAGCATAACAGTGGCAGAGTAAAAACCAGACATATTTGGAGACTGGGGTGAGTTCCACGAGCCTAGCCCTTTATCTGCTTTAGGCCATTGGAAGTTTGCATTGTCTGTACAAATTATTAGTGAATGAAAGCTTTTCAATAGTGGCTGATTTTTATAGAGATTTTGACAGAAAAACTGTCAGATTCCCTGTTTGAAAACTAGTGTAACTGTGAACATTTTAAGAATAGACGGAAAATAAAATCTTCATTCTCACCAGTAAAGTGTCTATCTTCCTGGAAGCATGTAAAATTTGAAGGCTTTAAAATATGCTTGTTATTTTGTCTCTTTGTGGTTGGATTCAGAAACTGAAAAAGTAATCTTCTAGCAGCATTAGTACCTTCTTAAAGCTAAAATTCCAGTTAGTAATAATAACAGATTCTCATGTAGTGACGTAGGGGGAAAAAAAAAAAAAAAAGAAATAAAATAAAAAAGCCCAGCTTTTATGGTATATTAACCAATTTTTATTTTTGACTAGTTCAAGTAATTTTTCAAACCCACTGTTGTATTTTTGTAACTCTTGTGATGGATTGAAAGTTGGAGTCATTTATTTTTTAAAATGTGATAAGAAAAACATCTAGTTAGTATTACAGTGGGAAGCATAACCTGTGATCCTGTTGTACTTATTTTAAGTCTGAACAAACTTCTATTATTATAATGGAAATGAAAAACGTTTGAATCAATAAAGGATGCTGCAGTATTACCTAGCAAAATTCAGGAAGTGCAGCTGAGGATAAAAAATAGCTATAGGCTGCCATGTAGTGGTTACTAATCTACCTTGTGAAATCTTCACCTTTGTATTTTTTTCTTTCTTCTTTCTGAAAAGTAGCCTCAGTCAGTGTATTGATTTGTTTTTACTGCAGTTTTTAAACTGTAAAAGTAGTTGTGACTCTTAGATACCATCACCTTGACAGCACTTGTAGGCTTGAATCACAGCTACCTGCTATGTTCGGAAAAGTCCTTAGGTTATGAAGGCCCTGCTAGATCATAACCAAGGTTATCTTACTATACTTATTTGAAACACAGCAGTATACATCAATGGAGTATACAGCAAATGTGAGCTTTAATAATGCTAGTTTCTTATTTAAGCAGTAGTGTTTTTAAGCTGGCAACACAATATATGAAGAAGACGGAGGGTGTGGAGTGCAATTATTTATCATGTGGATTAAGAAACGCATGGAAGCGTCAATGTACTTACCAAATTATGACATTGCTAATCAATTCATACTTGCTCTTTCCTTCATCTGCTTTTCTGAGTTAAATCCTGCAGTTGTCCTTTGTGGTTACAGATGGCTCCTCTGCTGTGCAGACAGCCTGGTATTTCTACAGGACAGAAAAGGTATAATAGCCACATGGGCATACGTGGCCAGTGGAATGCACAAAGATTAATTTCTTGCTCACATGGTAGTAATGACCAGTAATATAAGAACAACTAATTTTAGAAAAGAGATTAATTTAATGATACACATGCAAAAAGTGGCCAGTTTTTTTTCATTCTAGTGGCTGAGCTATAGAATGTCAGGCCATTTCATACTATATAATTAAGCTTCCTGCCTCACCATTCCCATCTTTAAATGTCCATATTATTTCCTGACATCCAAAAATGTGTAAAACCACTCTCTGATTATGCAAGTTTTATTCCAGGAGACTATTCCTAACTTAAAATGGTTGCCCTCCTTCATGCCTTTTTTTTTTTTTTTTTTTTTTTTTTTTTTTTTTTTTTTTTTGCAATAATACTCATTATTTCTAGTTTCTAATATTTATGTCAGATTATTTTCTCAGCCCACTCTCCTAAGTTCTCCCAGCATGGTGGTCATTGCATACCACCCCTGGTCAATGTTCAGAGACACTACATAATTCTCATAAATGCTTCTCATCACTCAAAATGTTCTGGTGCTTAAACATTTGTATTGCTTCTTTTTTCCCCCTAAGCTCAATATCTCACCATCTATCATTACCCTTCATTTGTAGCTTGTCAGACAATTTTAAATCCACAAGACAGTGCTCATTTCAGACCCATCTGAGACTAATTTTTCAAGTATGATTTCTTAGGTATTGTATCTGATGTCTACTAATGCTGCATGCATGATCCAAAATTGCTTTTTGTTACAAATTTTCAACCCCCACTCTAGTCACCCTGTGTTCCAGCGCATATGTGCATATCATAATTTCACTAGCTGCTGTTTATTGCTCAAGTTTCTTCTGTCAGCTGCTAAAAAAAAAAAAAAAAAAAAAAAAAAAAAAAAAAAAAAGGCAAGCTCACTTCCATTATTTTCCTAGGGATTGTAATGTGATTTATCAGATGATAATTTCCACGATTACTCTTTATTCGTCTTCTAAAGTTCAGTGCCATCCAGCCATCTGGTGTCTCATTAGTTCTGCAAAAGCCCTAGCCTACAAAGAAGAAAAAATTACTCACATGTCTAATTTTAAGCATGTGAATCCTAATGATGCAAAGGAGACTGCTCATATATTTTAAGCCAGGAGTACAGATAACTCTTGCAGGACCAGGCCACCAGGCCATAAAATACAGTCAAAAGATTTCTTTGGTTAATTGCATGAAGTAATTAGCTTGAATGCTGCAATGCACTTCATAGAGAAGTGCTAATAGGCCTGCATTAAGGCTTTTCATGCAATTCTTTACTAGCCTTTTGTTAATCATCTAGGCATTTGATATGAACAGAGGTATAAATCAGTGTTGAAGTGAAGCATGTTGATGAGTGTATGTTTTAAGGAGAATTGGTATCAGATGCAAAGTCTTCATCGCCGCTAAATTAACCATTTTGATTCTCTTCCTTGTGGTGTTCAGAGACCTGCACAACATTACACTTTTAGAATCAGTGTGACTATTTTTTTGGTTCTATTCATTAAAAAGCAGATTTTCTGTCTCAAACTACATGTCCTCACTGATACCCATGTTGAACTTGTCCTGTTTTCTGCTACCGGTATTCATCTTTTTTCTGTCTTTGAAAGGTGTTACTGCCGAGGAGCAGTTCTTTTCCATACCTCCTTTCCTGACTTCCCGGGAAATACCTTTCAGATTGTTAATGCATTGCTCAGTAAATGTATCTAACCTATAGAAATTTTAGAGTGTATGAGAGTAATGAAATTTTAGAGTGTAATGAGAGCCATTATTAGAGTGCAAATCATTTTGTGAAAGGCACCTTGTTATTGCTATATATTGTACGTATATTTAAAACACTCACTGTTTGAACTTGTGACTCGTTGGACTGGCATCTCAAATTTCCTTCTGCTAATTACAGAATACTGATTTTGCTCATTGCCGTCATAACAGTAACACCTAGTTAAAAAAAAGAATGCTCTCTCTTCTGTCAAACTGCAATGTTTCATTACTTTCTTACACTTAGCTTATTAAATCAGCTAGTATACTGCCAATTTTTCACACACCTCTCTAAAATTCTGAATATTCTCTTTTACACTCTTGAATTCAGGCAGAGTAACCCAGAGTATACAAGTCACCCTCTCCCGAACAATGTGTTCCCAAAATGCATGAATCATACATTCAACTATGGGTGGTGCTAACAGGCCTCCCTGTGATGTTCTGTTGCAGGAATTAAGATCAGGATAACTTGGGTTTCAGGAAGATATTGCAAAGGGAAAGAAATTGTAGCTTTATCATGTTGCATCAGAAAGGAGGTGCAATGAGGTGTTCACTAGTACTATTTTCCTCAATTATAATTTTTTTTTCTAAAGACCTTTATTAAGTTCAAGATACAGTATGGTCTACCACAGACAAGATAAAGAAATCTGGACATTAAACCGGAGATCAGAAGGCCAGACTATCTGTTCCCAGTACTTAGAATACTTATGTTAATAGATGTTTCCTGATTCAGAAAAGAAAAAAAGCAACTTTCACCTTAAACAAGAAGATTCTATAAGGGATGCTCTGAAAGTAATGCTTCTTCTTTGATTACTTTTACCTATGACATCAGAGACAGATCTTGGTGGGATGCAGTAGAGGTTGAAACTTCCCACCACAATTTCATCAAATTTTGTTGCCATATGACAGATGGCAGCAGAGGGGCACTAAGACATGGAAGTTCATGTGAAGCAAAGGTGTGTTTCTGAATTCCACCATTTGGAAAAAACAGCACCCACTGACAGTCATCAATTTTTGCTAAGCGTTTATGGAGACCAAACAGTGGATTTGAGCACAGTGAGGCAGTGGGTGAGCACTGCTTCAGCAGTGATGACAGCGACGTAAAAGACAAGCCACATTCCAGGTGGCCATGCACAGCTGTCACATCACAAAATGAAGAGTGTCTCAACCAGCCCATCCACACAAACTGGCAGATTACAATCAGGACATTGTGTACAGAGCTGAGTATCAGCTTCAATGCATTGGAAACAGTGGTGGCAAAATTGAGATATCCCAAAGTTTGTACTTTGAGTTTGCACCAGATGAGTCCCGTGAATGCTCACACAGGAACAGAAAGACACTGTATGCAAGTCTGTCAGGACCTATTGAACCAATATGAGGCTAAAGGTGATGATGGTGTCACCATTATGAACTGTAGTCTAAATAGCAGTCCATTGAGAGGTTACATGTGAATTCCCTATTGACAAGATGCAGGCCTCAGTAGGTAAAGTGAAGTGCACTTCTTGGGATAGGAAAGAGCTGATCCATCTACTTGGTTTTTCTGGAACTTGAACAAGCCATCAGCTGTGATCACGATTCTGATTAAGCTGAAGGCTTGAAGTTCCAGAGTCAGGCCAGAGAAGAAGACAACCCTTCTCTTGCAACACAACATCAGGCCCCATACCAGTTTGAAGACCCATGCAGCACACTGGCAGCATACTGCCAATCGTGGCTGAAATGTCCTACCACATCCACAGTATAGTCTGGATGTGTCACCTTCTGAATTCCATCTGTTTGAGCCAATGAAAGATGGACTGTGTAGGC